TGAAACAAAGTTTTGACTGTGACCCATCACATGAGATCTGTTGTGGAATTTTCCACTTGTGGTGTCATGTTGGCACTCAGAAAGTTTCAGAGTTTGGAGATTTCAGATTTACGGATTAGGGATGCTCAACCTGTAATATATTATTCTTATTGTGTCTTCACTTTACAAATTTCAGAAGTTCAGTGATTTGCCCATGGTAACAGCTTGGTGGATGTGCTTGTTCTTCCATGACTGACTCTTTGCAGCTCTCTTTCTGCTGAAGGCTATTAAGTTCTGATAAAGGTGGTAGTAGAGTAGGATTTTTTGTTTTGATTTTTTCCACTTTAAACATTCTTTATTTTCTGCCCCTGTTGTGCACCAAGCTTTTGGAGAAAGCAATAAGAGTTTATCCCTTCCTCCTACCGCTCTCCTAAAACAGCTGCCTCATCCCCTCCCCCATTTTTATTTTTTTTCTTAAGAGACAAGGTGTCACTATGTTGCCTTGGCTGGAGTGCAGTGACTAGTCACAGGCACAATCATATCTCACTGCAGCCTCAAGCTCCTGGGCTCAAGCGATCCTCCCTCCTCTGTCTCCTGAGTAATTGAGACTACAGGTGTGAGCCGTCGTGGCACCTGGCTTCCTTATCCCTTTTAAGAGGAGGAAATCATCAGATTTAAGAGTTGTTGATTACCTTTTGCGTGTTAAGCAGGAGTCTCACGTATTCTGGGAGAAACTGCGAGAAACTGCTCGAGAACTTTCTACCTATGGGTGACAACTAGTTTTTTCTCATCCTCACATTCCAGGTATGCAAAGGGCCCCCCCAGCATGAGGAAATCTGCCTGGGCCTCTTTACTCTTGTCCTTACTGAACCTGCCCAAGCCCAGAAGGTAAGACACCCTCTCTGGGCCCACGAACCCTGCTCATACATGATCTGGGAATATGGTGGAACTTGTAGTTTAACTGTGGTAGTATGAGACTCTTTAAAGAGAGCTGGATCACCTTGTTCTCCAAATATATTTACACCTTCCTCTTTACTCTCAGTGAATTGGTCATTCTCTAACTAAAGTTGTTTCTCTGCTTCCAGATTCTGAAGCTAAAAGGCAAAAAAAGGCAGTTGTGAGAGTGAAAAAACACATAGAATTTAAAATTTTAGATTTATGAGGCAAGGCTAAAAAGATTGGAATTTAATCCAGAGCAGAGAAGAGAACAACTATAACCAAGTCTATGCGAGCTCTTATCCAGTAGAGCATGGCCTGTAGTTTGCAGATTCTGCCGTTGGCAGGTGAATAGAAAGCAGGCTTAAAATTGCAGCAAGTAGGATTTAGATTAGACAGCTTAATGTTACATGATTGATGCAGTAAGTACTGCAGTGATTAAGAGAACACTGAGGTACACTGGACTCAGACTTCCTGAGGAATATTGTATAAAAACTAGTCTGGGGTTCTTCACAAACAGAAAAGTTTCCCTCATGTGGAATGGTTTAAGTGGGGTCCTTCCTTGAGGTGAGGGACTAGGCAGGGTGATCTCTTTGTATTCTGTTCTGTTTGTAATAAAGTAGCAAAATTCTGTTTTCTGCCTCTCCAAATTTCCTCTTTCCAGCAATTCTGTGTCCTTTGGGTGTTGATATGATGATATAAAATCTGTCCCTGGTATCTGGCGTTGACTGTGCAACACTAACAAGAGAAGAGCTTAGAGTAGGAGAATTCAGTATTCTCATTGGCTCTTCCCTGAATAAGGATGATGTTGAAGGAAACAAACGTGCTCTATGCCCAGCATTCTGTTAGGCTTTATCCAGACAAGATCTCATCTTATCTTCCCTCAAAACCGTATGAGGTTGTGGCTTTATCCTCTCCCCCAGACTACTTCTAGTTTACCTGTGAGGCTTGAAGGTCAGAGATGTTGTCATTTGTTTTATCAAGGAAAACCAAAGGAAAATCATTCCCAGGAACAAGAACAGGATGCTCACGGTCCCCTGGCGCAGCTACTTGAGTTAGCCTCCGGGGAAGGATTTATGGACATGGGAACCTGATTTATTTGTACTTCTCTGATGCCAGCTGGAATAAGGTCTAGGGTGAGGGTGGGCAGTGAGGCAGCAAGTATTCACAACTCCTTGGTTTCCCAGGAGAGCCAAGGCCCTTCTGGGCTGGGACCTTGTTGAGTTAAATTGCTATTTCACTTTCATACTGAATTTATCATCAAGATCCTCGAAGACCTATGAATGTTTCCAATTTGGTGGTGATATGATCCAGTTTAACCCATCCATTTTAAAGAAATTGTTGGCAAAGATGGGAGTAGATGGGTTAGGGTCAAGGTTTAATTCCCCGCCTGCCTTTTTCTTTTTGAGATGGGGTCTCACCATGTTGCCGAAGCTGGTCTTGAGCTTCTGGGCTCAAGCGGTCCTCTCACCTCATCTTCCCAAGTAGCTGGGATCACCGTGCCTGGCTAATTTTCTCTGCGTGGGTTTTTAAAAATACAATTAAACTCTCATTTAGTCATCTCATGCAAATTAGTCTCGTCTATTGGAAAGCTTTGGTGTGTTTGTTTGTTTAAGTTGATCTGATCAGCCAGGGTAAATCAGTAAACCTCAGTGAAGAGGGCAGGGTGTGTGTGGTAATTCTAGCCCTTTGCCTGGCCTGGCGGTAAGAGGCTCTACATTGTAAATGCTATTATGTCATGAATTTGGCCATCCGAACACAGCAAGAGACTAGAGCATCTCCTCTTCTTTTTGCCCTATGACAACCCCACGAAGGAGGCCCAGGCCCTCTGGGGAGGTGAAATATCTTGCCTTGCATCTCATAACTGGTTGACGGCTGTGCCAGGATTCATGTTCACATGCTAACATTTTCCAAATCTGCTACCCATGCGCCTCCTAGGCTGAGCCCCCAGGTCGGGCCTTTTCAGACAAAGGTGGTAGAGACAGAATTAGAAGGATGCAGTTTTAGGTGAGTGAGGAAGTATCAGGAAGTGACTCATTCAGAGACCTTGAGCCAGGTCAGAGTGTGGTGGAAGCATTAGTGACGTATCTCCCTAGAGCTTTGATTCTTCTCCCTAAAAGAGTAATTACTTTGTAAAAAGCTTCTGTCCTGCAGAAAGAAGTTTTAGGTGGGAGTTACTGATGAGAACTGGTTCTAATGCACTGTTTTAGGCTTTAGCTTAAAGCAAGGGAACTGTTTTTTAAGGGTTTATATTTGGGGGTGATTCTACTTTTGAAACAGAAACCTCTGGATGGGTTTGAGATTTAATTGTTCCTGAATCTCTACAGGCCTAGCCATAGGTGGTGGGGTTGCCAGAGAAGGTAGTAGTGAAAACTGAGTCTTGAACACAGTAGGAACCTGCTCTGGAAAAGCATGAGCCGAGGAGCCTGTTAATACTGGCAGGCAGGTCCGAGGAGTTAGGGCCAGCTCTCTGGGATTTAGTGGGTGGGATTAGGGTGGATTGAACAGGTGAATAACAGAACTCAGTTAAGGAGAAAGCAGGTCAGGTATTGGTAAAGAGTTCAATACACATAAAGTGGATTTTGTTCCAGTTATACTTTCTTGATTTGCATCTGCTCTTTTGGCAGCTCCTAGGAATGTTTATATTCTTCGGGTTTGTTTTTTTACAGATAGGCTCTTGCTCTGTTGCTCAGGCTGGAGTGCAATGGCATGATCATAGCTCACTGTCACCTGGGCTCAAGCGATCCTCCTTCCTTGGCCTCCCAAAGTGCTGGGATTATAGGTGTGAGCCACTGTGCAATGCCTCTTGGAGTTTATATCCCATTTGGTGTCTGAACTAAACAGCTGGAACAGGCTGGGGAACTGTGCTGAGGAGGGAGGCTAAGCTGCAGGCCTAAGCTGTGCAGGCTCCAGCAGTCAGTAGATAAAGGTAATGGGAAAGGGTCTAACATCGGTGCCAAGATCTCTCTTCATCAAAGGGTGAAGGGCCCAGGCAGTTCTTGATCTGGGTGATTCTCCCACCAGGCAGCTCTAGAAAGAAGGTTGGGGGCTACAAGGGCCTAGGCTGGAACAATACTGCTCTTGACACGGTCAGGATAGCTGTGCTACCTCAGTGCTATCCTGTCACATTCCCTTTCTTTTGAGACCCTCTGCTTTTCTTCTGTGTTCTTCACTGAGGTTCTTTTTCCCCATCTGCCAGTCACCAAACTGGCACAGACATTGGTAAGACAACTGGTAGCCTCAGGGATACGATATTCTTGGTGCCCAGCTGCCGTGTGTTACCAGCAGTTATGGTTAATAAAGGTCCCAGGTGGAGTATGGACTTAGGCAGATGCTGTCTGCTCTTTTCGTCTGACCCTGTATCTCCTGAGATACTTGTCCTTCTTCCCTGTCCTGGGTCTATTCTGCATTTCCAGGATTTCTGCTTTCAGTTGAACAAGTTTCTTCTCTGGTTAGCACTGTCTCTATCTTTGGCCTGACACAGATTTTCCTTCTGCCACCTCCCTCATCCTCTCTGCCCATTCTGTGACTTACCTGTGGGGGAGGCTCCAGGTCACCAACATTTGCTGACCAGCACATTCACAGCAGTTCCCTGGGCCCCTTTATCTCTTCCCTGTTTCCTTGTTTTCTCGATCTCCCAACTGTCCCGCAGATGGAGTCAGAAGATAAATTCTCCTTTGGGTATAAAAAATTTGTGGCACATAGAGGATCTCTAACTGTTGGTATTTTTATCAGATCAATTTATTCGACCTAAGGACAACAGAGGCAGGAGGAAGTAACAGTAGCTCATCTGTAAGAAGACCCTTGTCACACTAAGGCCAGAGAGCAGCTGGTCTTGAGGGGTACATCTCTTTTGAATGCTCAGGATGAAAGGGTTTAGAAATGTAGTTGTCTCAAAACCATTACAGACTCTTACTTCCATCCCTGGAAGCCTCTTTTCCATCTAGTTATTTCTTTTTTTTTTTTTTTTGAGACAGAGTCTCACTGTGTTGCCCGGGCTAGAGTGCCGTGGCTCACAGCATCCTAGCTCACAGCAACCTCAAACTCCTGGGCTCAAGCGATCCTCCTGCCTCAGCCTCCCGAGAAGCTGGGACTACAGGCATGCGCCACCATGCCCGGCTAATTTTTTCTATATATTTTTAGTTGTCCAATTAATTTCTTTCTAATTTTAGTAGAGACGGGGTCTTGCTCTTGCTCAGGCTGGTTTCGAACTCCTGAGCTCAAATAATCCGCCTGCCTCCGCCTCCCAGAGAGCCAGGATTACAGGCGTGAGCCACCGCGCCCGGCTGCATCTAGTTATTTCTAATGTTGGTATAAGACGTTGTTAAGCATGGAATCTAGAATTGGACTGCCTAGATTTGAATCCTGGTTCTTCCTCTAATCTCTTATGTGACCTGGGGTGAATTGCTTTACCCTCTCTATGCCTGTCTCCTTATTTCTAAAAATAGAGATACTAATGAATATTATCTATTTCAAAGGTTGTTTTATTTATCAAATGCAATAATATATATCATAGAATATAAAGTTTGTGCACAATGCCAATGGTTGTTAGCTTTTACTATTGTTATTGTTGATGCCATCTTTGCTACTGGCCTTCAGAGGTTGTGGAAAGCTACCTACCTAATCTCTACCCTTTCTGATGAGACCCTGACAGGATAGAACTCAGCAAGCTAAGCAGGTTGCTAATTAGGCCCCCTAAGGTATTCCTCCAGGAGTCTGGTCTCACTAGAGAGACAGGGTGAGAAAAGCTCTAAGGGGAAGGGAAGCAATGACTCTCGCAGAAGAAACTGGCATGTCCTCTCTCACCTCCCCCGGGTTGAGTATGCTAGAGGACCTCTCCTTTTTCAATACTTGGCAGAAGGAAAGGGCATCCCAGTGAAAAGAAGAAAGACATTTAGTTAGGGAAATTCAGTTTTGGTTCTGCCCTTTCTGTCTGGGGCCTGCCCTGATCCTCTTCCCTTACTACTCCCTTTGCTGCATCTGGCTGGGTCAGTACAGGTCTAAAAACCTCTTTGGGATCCTATCTGGCTTGTTCAACCAAACCCATTCTGAGGTGACCTTTTACTAGCAGATGAAAAGCAGATGGCCTCCACCTGGTTTTGCTCAGCTTGTGGCATCAAACAGTATGACACTTCCTAAGAGGGGAGGGAGGGGAACAGGGACATGACCAGGAACCTTGCTCAGCAGGCTTTCCTGCCTTATTAGAGGATAGCCCAGTCCCTTTTCCCCACCCTGTGTGACAGAGCAAGAGATAGGTGTGGGACGGAGGAGCCCTGTGGAAGGGAAGTGTTTCACCACTGCTCGGTATCCCACTGGTGTTATTTAAGTTTAAGATACTCAAGGGCGGGGGTCCACTACAGGTGGAGTCAGGAACGTCATCCTCAGCCTGCTGGCTGCTCACAGACCTCACTTCTCACAGTGTTACCGCGACTTGGCTCTGGTGAGTCGTGACGGCATGAATATTGTCCTGAATAAAATCAACCAGATACTTATGGAGAAGTACCTGAAGTTGCAGGATACCTGCCGTACTCAGGTAAGGCCAGAAAGAAAAGAGAAGAATGATGCAGACCTCCTTGGCATGTTTACCTTTGGGGGGAGTCGAGGGAGGATGAGCTCAGCAGTATGGGGCCAGCCAACTACACAGGCCTGGAGGTATCCCTTTTCTCCCTTCCAAGCCTCCCATTCCTCTCTCTCACAGGGAAGGAAAGGAGGAATCGGGGCTAACACACTCCTACCCTTGTGCACCTGAATTATAATGTGATTGAATTAGCTCCTTTCTCAAACTCACAGGCCCTGCTCTTCAGCTGTTTTTTCTTCTTTCCTTTAGTTGGTGTGGTTGGTACGGGAACTAGTGAAGAGTGGGGTTCTGGGAGCCGATGGTGTGTGCATGACATTTATGAAGCAGATAGCAGGTGAGTTTGATGGCAGGAGCATAAGGAAAAAAGGAGGGGAGCCCAGAGACTAACTGCAGTCCATGGAGAATGTGCCTAAGGGACTCAATTCCTGAGTTGCTTAGACTCTTTTCTTCTGATACAGACATCTTCTGGCCACCTATGTTACAGAAAGCAATACACTGAAAAATCATAGGAGGTCTTTTGAAGCAATAAGTTTTGCCTCATTTTCTTCCTTGCCAAACCTATGGCCTGACAGAATATTTGGCCTAATTTAGCCAGTCTTCACTTTGAGGCTTCATGGCATATCAGATCAGGAAGGAATGGGGAGAGAAGTGAGAGCAAATAATTTGTTCCCATGTCATTATGCTTCAGGAAACCTAGACATCTTCCCTGGCTCCATCCCCATGTTCTGAACACTCGCTCACTAATAATCTTAACATCTAATTGGAGCCAGTCTGAGGGACAAACTATGTCACATAACAGACCCTGACATTTAGTTTGTATTATCATCTTGGCATCAGTGACATCTGCCTGAGCCAATGAATATCCAAGAGGCCACTCTCAAGATTGCATGTGTTTGTTTAAAAATGACCCTGCCGCTCTACCTCACCATTTGCCCATTGGGGTGTTGCTCCTCTTTAGGATTTTACGTAACACTGATGCTCCTATTTTGATGTGTAGAAACCTTAATCTGTGTGATGTGTGACTATGCGAACATTGAATTTTTAAATTGGAACCTGAGGCAAGGCATAGCATTGTGCTGGCTATTTTTATCCTCTCTCCTGGTACTTTCTTCCCTGTTTGGCACTTCCAGCCCCCATTTCTCATCCCAAGAGTTTGGTCTGGCATTGCATGTTAATTCTGCCTTAGGAAGTTCCATAGCAAGCACTGAAGACTGCTATCTGGAAACAAGAAACTCTTGGCCAGTTGTGAGCCTGAGCACAGAACTTAGGACATCCAGATGCTGGACTGTAGCTGTTGCCGGCCACCTGTACCTCTCAGGCCCTCTCTGAGATACCATCGTTTCTTTCCAACTGTGGGTTTCTCATACATTCCTTTTCAAAGGCCAGAGTGTTTGCACTCCAACTCCCAATCTATGGGAAAGTAGCAGCTCTGGTTTCTAGAAAAATCCAGAACCTTCCCTTCCCTTCTCTCTGGAGGCAAAGGTGGAAACTTTAAAGCCTGGCAGAATAGAAGGAGATTTATTCTAGCATTCAGGATAACAATGTTGGAATAACAGTTAGGGTGGACCAGCGGAATGAAGAGATGTATTGGATTAGCTGAGTTGCTAATCAAAGCTATTCTGACTTTCTTTTTCCCCCTTTGAAATCAGGTGGAGATGTTACAGCCAAAAATATCTGGTTGGCAGAAAGTGTTCTGGATATCCTGACGGAGCAGAGGTAGAGTCCACCATCAAGGGTGGGGCAAGAGCCAGATAATGGCTATCGGGTGTGCGTGCGGGAAATGGGGATGGGGGGATTGTGTGGCCCAAGAACACCTTCAGTTAGAGAGGGGGAGGAAAGGGGAGGGAGAGACAAGTGTATTGGTGGCAAGTGAGGGAATTAATGCCATGGTGTGGCCCCATGGATGGAGGAATGGGAAAGAGGTCTTTGCTAAAATATCTCAGAGCCCAGGAAAAAGTGGTTTCATCTGATAAGAGTTTATTTTTGATGCAGACCTCCTTGGAATGTTTATCTTTGGGGGGAGTTGAGGGAGAATGAGCTCAGCAGCATGGGGCTGGCCAACTACCCAGGCCTGGCAGGTACCCCTTTTCTCCCTTCCAAGCCTCTCCATCCAACCCATGCTGTTTTTGAAGTGGCACAGGGGGCAGTGGGCATGAGGAGGTAGTAGAAATCAGTGAATCCTGCCAGAGTTTGCACATAGAGCTTGGAGGCTCCGGTGGTATAGAGCGCATAAGGGGAGCATATTGGGCTTTCTGGCTGATTCTTTTCGTTCCTCATCAAAATAAAGGACAAGGATTTTTTTTTTCTTAATCTGTGATCCTTCATTGCTCAATCAGAAATTTTAATGGGGCTGTTCCATATCTGAACTTGGTTGGGGATGAGGCATTGCCCTTGGCCTCAGTCTTCCTCTTGCTTGATTTCAGAGTCTCTTTCTGGGTTAGGACACCATAGCAGCCAACCGATGGAGAAGGCTAATACTAGCCCTACTACTATATGCGGTTTAGAAGAATGGATCTCCTCCCATTATTCACGCTGGCTGTGTCCTGTGCTCTGCCCAAGCCTAAAAGCCCTGCCAGGTCTGCTATGCAGTGCCACCTAGTGCTCTGGGCATGGATGTGCAGCTACATCGGGGCCTGGAGCACTTGTTATTCTCATGGTTGCGCTAGCACCTGCGATCCTAGCAGTCTCTTAACCAGTCTCTTCTCTTAGGTCTCTGTGCCTTTTTAGTGTCCTGGGTCAGAGGGTCTCACTTTCATCTCTCTTTCTCTTTATTACACCATTCTAGGATTCAGATGTATTTATTACTTCTATTAGCAATGTTCCTAAGAAGTGATTTTTCTTATTTTGTTCCTGGTGCCAGATACCTCCTGTCCCCATACCTTAAAGCTGAGTTTCGTATACAAGCATCAAATAACAGCCAGATAAAACTGCCCCACCTTTTCCCTACCCTCCAAAAACCTCAAATCTTTTGGTGAAAGTTAGTACTTAGAAGTTGAAAACTATGTCTTCTTCTACAACCTCCTTCTCACTCCTTTCCAAGTGTTTGTAGGGCTGTGGAGTTAAAAGGTAGCAGGTGGGGGCAGGGAACCCTCCCCAGTGACCTTGGCTAATGCTTTTATTCTGTGAAAGGAAAAGGCCAGAGTCTTTTAATTAGGTGGCCTGCGCTCTTTTCCGGAATCAGGATGTTGTCTGATTGGATTAACTAAACTCCATGTTTTCTTCCTCCAATTCCCTGCCCTCCAGCAAGAGTGCCAAAGCCATTACAAACTATTTGCTTGGGGGAGACAGCTTCCCAATTTTGGCACTTAGAGAGAGCATTAGAGTTTTGGGAATTTCCTCACTGTTTCCTTCTCTCTACTCCTGTTAAAGCAGGAGGGAACAAACAATTCTTTCATTATACCCTTTTTCCCCAGGGAAATTCTAAAACTCCTGGGAAGATGGATTTTGCCATCCAGAATGGGGTTTTTTTCTTCAGATTGGTGATTTAGGGCTGGCGACATATTGGTGACTAGAGAGCGAGCCAGGGAAAGGTTTGTGGCATGGTGGGCTGCTAATGACAAACAGATAACAGGGCCAGTACGATATGTTCTAAAAACTTCAGGGTCCTGAAGGGGTCTTGGACATCCCCAGAGGATTTTACACCACACTTAAGAACTGCTGGCCCAGCGTGATGGCTCACGCCTGTAATCCTAGCACTCTGGGAGGCTGAGGCGGGTGGATCGCTCAAGGTCAGGAGTTCGAGACCAGCCTGAACAAGAGTGAGACCCCATCTCCACTAAAAAATAGAAAGAAATGACCTGGACAACTGAAAAAATAATATATATATATGTATATATATATATAGAAAAAATTAGCCAGGCATGGTGGCTCATGCCTGTAGTCCCAGCTACTCGGGAGGCTGAGGCAGGAGGATCGCTTGAGCCCAGGAGTTTGAGGTTGCTGTGAGCTAGGCTGACACCACGGCACTCTAGCACAGGCAACAGAGCCAGACTCTGTCTCAAAAAAAAAAAAAAAAAAAGAACTGCTAACTTAGGGACACTTAACGAAACTCTTTCCCTATAGTCTGAGCTGAGTAGAAGCGGTAGCTTATCTCTGTCCCTAGTACCTTACACATTTCTTGGTACATAACAGACACTCAGTAAATGTTTGAATGAATGAGTCACAAACAAAGTTATTTTATTCAAAGCTAAGTAGTTATGTGGTAAGAAGAAATTGCTTTCATTCAGCACTATCTTTACTGGGTACCTGGTGGAGAAAATTAGGAAGTTGTCCTTACCTTAGCAGATTGATAGTCCAAGATAGATAATAACAGCATTAGCAAGCAAGCAAAAAACCAAAGGACCTACTCCCAGTGTCTAATCATCAAACATTTCCGAGGCACTGGAGCCAAGCCCAGGGCAGGGGTGAATTGGAGGGTGAGTGGGTCTAGATGGGGCGAGGTGCCAGTGTCTTGCCTCCCTGCAGGGAGTGGGTACTGAAGAGCAGCATCCTCATCGCCATGGCTGTTTACACGTACCTCCGCCTCATCGTCGACCACCACGGGACTGCCCAGCTCCAGGCTCTGCGGCAGAAGGAAGTAGACTTCTGCATCTCACTGCTTCGGGAGCGGGTGAGGGTGTTGGACAAAACAGTATGGGGAAGTGAGACTCATGATGGGATACCTCTATAGGTTTTTTTGCTTTTTTTCCCTAGTCTGAGCCAAGCTTGCACCTATAGGTTTTGTGCACCTGGGTCAGGGATGCCTTGTTAGAGATGGAGGTACTTTAAGATCTTAGGCAGGTGAGGGTAGGGGTGGGGAATCAGTATGGAGCAGCCCTAGTTCCTAGAAATGCTACCTGTTATGCAGGCATCCCAGGGATTTTCCTGGTCAGCTTCATGAACACTATTGTACGAGAGACACTAGCTGTCCTTGTGTGCCCACCATTACGACATCCCCCCATCTACCCTCCTGGGTAATTCCCATATTCAAGTGGGATTATGAATTGTCCACTATCAGATCTCCTAAGAGAGATATCTTAGAGCTGTGCTAATATGGTAGCCGCCGGCCACATGTGGTGATTTAAATTAAAATTAATGTTATATAAAACTTTAAAGTTCAGTTCCTTAGTTGTATTAGCCACACATTGCTAATGGTTTTATTTGAACTGCACAGGTATAGACATTTCTGTTACCACAGAATTGGACCCACAGAATCCTGTTGCACAGGATGAGTTTTGGGATAGTCTGGGGCTCAATTTGCCAATCCCCTTCTATTGGAATCTTAGTCTACCGTGAACTGGATTGAAACAGTTCTGGGTAAGGGGAGTAGATTAATGTGAAAGCCAGCAGGGCTTCAGCACTTCCCATTAACCTCCCATTCTTGTTCTCAGTCTCCAGCTCTTTTCCCTTGAATAGCTAGGAGCCAATCCTTTGGTTCCAGAAGAAATCATATAGTCCCTTCTACCCTCTTTCCTTCCCTCCTGAGAACATGTTGTTCCTTTATCCTCCCTCCAGCAGGTAAACAATCCATGTTTTTATTTTCTTTCCTGACCCCCCTCCTTCGTCCTCCTCCCCATCAAGTTCATGGAATGTTTGATGATTGGTCGAGACCTTGTAAGACTACTCCAGAATGTTGCTAGGATACCAGAATTTGAACTGCTTTGGAAAGATATTATCCATAACCCTCAGGCCTTGAGTCCTCAGTTCACAGGTAAGTAAGGGCCTGGGCATCATATCCTTGAGAGGCGGGAGGTCAGTGTGTATGTCCTGCCTGAATCAAGATGGTAGAGGTTGAGCCGTACACAGTGGCTCACACCTGTAATCCCAGCGACTTGAAAGGGTGAGGCAGGAGGATCACTTGAGCCCAGGAGTTTGAGACCAGACTGGACAATATAGCAAGATCCTGTCTCAAAAAAATAGGTAGTGGTTGGTGGGTAGGAGTCTTTGGGTGTCAGATATAGAAAGCTTGGGACAGGGTAGGCTTTGCCAAGTACAGCTGGATAGGGGCAGAGGTGCAGAACAATTCATGTGGTTCTTAGACATCCCCTATTTGGCAGACTCCAGCTGTCATTACTACCAAGAAAAAAGTGAGACAGAGAACTGTGATCCTCCTCCTCCTCCCCTCCCGGCAGCTCCTTGGCTCAGGAGGTGAGCCGATGACCAGTTTCTAGCTTTGCTGAGTCCAGCAGGGGAGTCAGAGGTCAACTCGTGAGACTGAGTCAGCAGAGGGGCTGGAAATAATCCTGTAAGAGAAGACTCCTCCCTGAGAGAAGTCTTGCCTCTAATTCCAAGGATCCAGCTTGGCCAAAATCTTCTTTTAAGGGAGAGAAAGAGTCTCTGTGTGCCTCACTGTGACAAGGTCCTTTTCATATGCCCTTCCCTTTCCCAGGGTCCTACTATGGTCTGAACAATAACTGTACAGCTTTGCTCCTCACCCCATCTCCAACACACATGTGCGTGTGTGTGCACGCACACATACAAACTGAAAGCAATTGTCGAGGACCTGGGAAGTCAGGAAAGAAGAGAGGAAAGTGCTGGGCCTACCTTATATTGAACGTGTATTGAGTTGCTTTGAGTACCTCCTCTGTGTTAGGCACACATATGTTAACTCATTTAGTCTTCAGGACAGCCCTGTAAGATGAGTATTTTACTTTCCATGTTTCTAGATAAACTGAGGGTTAAAGAGATTAAGTAATTTGCCCAAGGCTACACAGCTAGTAAATGACAGAGGCACGATTTGGATCCAGGTCTTTCTGACTCCAGAGCTTGTGCTCATGCCAGAATACCACATTGATCCTGACCCTTTGATGGGACCATCAGCAGCAGGAAGAGAGGCTGCAGTTTCCCATGTTATTCCCTTAACTTTGCAACCTATTGCCAACTGGAATCATGTGGGTAGGGGGCTCTGGAAGGCCAACAGAAGAAGGAAATTAATGTAGTTGAGGCCTGGGGATGGCGGATGGTTGGAGCAGAACACACAAATGCTGGTTAGAATCCCCGTTTGTACCTATGCTTGACTTCCCTTGGTCGTGTCTTATCAATAGAATTTCCCCATGATCAAGATCATAGGCCATCAGTACCTGGCCAAGGTTCACCACCTGTCTTCCATTCCTTCTGGTTCTCAGGTTTCTTTCTTTTCTCTTCCCTTCCACATTTGGTTCAGGTATCCTACAGCTTCTTCAGTCGAGAACATCCCGAAAATTCCTAGCATGTCGTCTAACCCCAGACATGGAGACTAAGCTCCTCTTCATGACATCCCGGGTAAGCTAACCCATTGCAGCAGGAAGAGGAGACGCAGGTGCTAGCTGGGCTTCTTGCTTCAGTCTGTGGATCTGTAACCATTGTGCACCACTCTATAGTGGAGTGGTGGCTAAGCGGGTGCCCCTGATCCACCTGGGTGCTGGCTGCTTTCCTTTGTTCATTCTGCACCTACACATTGGGCATGGTGCTAAGAATTGGGGGTACAGTATTGAATAAGAGAGATACAATTCCAGCTCTTGTGATACTTTCAGTCTGTCTAAAACAGTCATTAAACCGGTAATTGTATACAAATAATATCATTTAGAAGTGTGAAATGTGCTATAAAAGGGTAGAGTGAGTGCTCATTCTAGGAAAATCCACAGTTGCTCCAGGGAAACCGTGAGCTCTCAGGAAGAGGCTGTGGCCTTTTGGTTTCCAAACATGGCTGAATTACGACAGAATTACCTGAGGAACACGTTAAAGATGCAGTTTCCTGGGTCCCACTCTCCCAGAGAATCTGCTTGAAGAATCTGTGTTTTTAGCAAACTTCCCAGGCAATTCCTCTACAGTCGGTCTGGCTTTAGGGACCTGCTGCCCTAGCCAGCTTTCAGTTTCCCAAGTCATGCAAAGCTGTCTAGATCTGTGCTGTCCCATGTGGTAGCCATGTGTTGCAATTTAAATTTAAGTTAGTAAAGTAAAATTAAAAATTCAGTATCTTAGTCACAATGGCTACATTTCAAGTGCTCAATAGCCATCCTCATTGCAAAAATGTTCTGTTTGACAGTATTGGTCTAGAGGTATCTTTTTGTTTATTTTTTACCCTTTTGCTCTATTTTGGTTGATTTCTTCAGACAGATGGGAGATAGAAGAGGAAGACCAGATCTTTTTCCTTATTTGGTGTTACTGTTTATAACGGTTTAGGGTCTGTTTGGGGGAAGAACCAGCTGCAAGAGGATGTGGAGAGTCTATGCCTTGGATAATGGTTCTGTTAGGTTGCCCAGCAGCAGGAAGCTCTCAGTCAGTGCTGAGTGGTGAACAGGCTCAGCTCTTGCTCTTGAGGAACATTCCTTGCTGTTCACCAGTGGCTCAAGAAAATGAGAAAAGATTATGCTTATGACTGGAGAATCAGTGACCAGTACCAGCAGTAAGGAGCCAAAAGTGCACTACAGTTGCAGTTGGGGGTAAATATAGTATCAGCTTGATGGCAAAAATGAATGTGCCACTGGCGTGTGCGAGGCAAGCTGGAAACTGTCAGCATGCTCTTAAATTAGGAAGTCCTCCCAAAAGAGGGGAGACTTGAGAGACAGTATGAGCTAATGAATACATTGTGGGAAGAAATGGAGGTCTAGGTCAAGGCTAGAGTTGAATGTTGCTTGTTTTCCTCTGTTCAGGGACCCCACCCTTCCTTCTAAGTTTCTTTTTCCAACTTCTCCTAGGTACGGTTTGGTCAACAAAAGCGATATCAGGATTGGTTCCAGCGCCAGTACCTGTCAACTCCAGACAGTCAGTCTCTGCGCTGTGACCTCATTCGCTACATCTGTGGGGTAGTCCACCCTTCTAATGAAGTACTGAGTTCAGATATCTTGCCCCGGTGGGCCATCATTGGTTGGCTCCTGACAACATGCACGGTGAGGGGCTGGGCCACGGGGCAGAGGATATTGGGTGGTGAAGGGTGCCTCTTCCTTCGTGTTCCCCATATTTCCATGCTTCTTCCTCACTGCAGGCCTGTCTCACCCCTGAGGGCCCCTTTTTCACTCTGGTTCACTTGAATGCCTTGGCTTTTTGCCCCACTTCCCTTTGAGTCTCTAGAAATTTACTTATACTCATTATGTTCCACCTGGGTTTCGGGTTCAACAGGTTCTATTGCCAACCTCCAAAGCTTGGATATCTGAGGCATCCTTGCCTTTTTTGTTTTAGCTTCCAGAAACTACATAATGGCTATTCCTCTGAATTGTTCCTTTCTTAACTCAGAGCTTGCAATCTTTAGACCCTCACCTCCATGCCTTTTGGCATCAGCTTGGATACTTCCCTTCTCTGCATGTAGTAAATCTGCAGCGAGCCATTTCCTTCCCAGCATTTCCCTCCCCGTGCCCGGGGTGGGAAACTGTCCATTCTCTGGCATCTGGCTGCCCCCTGACCTCTTCTGACAAGGTTACTCCTCCCCCATCTGACTGGGTCTTTGGAATGTGCTGATTCAGATATGACAACAGCCTGTTCCTAAGGGGTCTCTTCTTCAGGAATGTGCTGGGGGAGCCCAGCAAGGGCAGCCCAGGGGGCTGGTCTGAGTGTTGCCTCAGCTCAGGGGTGATCGGTGGACTCTCGGTACAAGGGTTCTCTCTTATGGGGCTCAGGGATGTGTACTTCTGGGTATATGAAGAACCCAGGCCAGTGCCCATCCTCTTGGTTGGTAAGGCCGCTTACTCACACTCAAGCATAACACAGACTCAGGTGCCTCTCACCCCGTGGGCATTCCACACTGTTTCACTAGGAGCTGACTTTCGTAGACGGGGCAGCTAAGTGGGCCCTGGAATCTGCCTTGGGCCTCTGAAGGGAATGGAGCTGGTTGATGAAACTAGCCCTCTTTTTTTTCTCCTCTCTTTTCCAGTCAAATGTTGCTGCCTCTAATGCCAAGCTGGCTTTGTTTTACGACTGGCTGTTCTTTAGTCCAGACAAGGATAGCATTATGAACATAGGTACGTGACGGAGACCAGGCAGCGCCACTTCCCCATCCCCCAGGTCCCCACTGCCTTGTCGTAGTGATAGCAGTCATAAATCTCAGGGCAGCGTGGAGGGGAGGCAGCTTATCTGGGAGCAGTTCCGTTGTTCCTCATCAGTTCTCCCTTGACCTAGAAGGAGAATTGCTTTGATGAGGCTGAGCAGTCAGTTCACCCCTCCCACCACGGCCTTAGGCTTGGGCTGGGGGACAGCCTAGGCAGAGGAAAAGCTGTACCATGTCCTGCTTTTCCTCTCCTACTACCTCCCTTCCCCACGCTGAGTGCTGGGGGCAAGAAGGGAGGTAAAGGCTAAGAGCTGTTTGGGGGCCTGTCTGCTTTTGGGTCTGCTCAGTGGGAGTGGGAGGAATAGACACAGCATCCCCAGAGCTGTTCATGTATATTGGCATCCCATCTTGCGGAGCTGGAAACAGACTCTCTGATGGGGGGGGCCCTTTAATTCCACATTGTCCAGAACCAGCTATCCTGGTCATGCATCACTCCATGAAGCCTCATCCAGCCATCACTGCCACACTCCTGGACTTCATGTGCCGCGTAAGTGCCCCAGCTCTCTTTTCTCCCCATGTCTGGATGAACAGAGTTAAGTGTATCCCCCTCATCTCCCAGTGAATGAGTCTTCTCGGTGCCCCTTGACTGTGGCAGCAGAAGTCACCATGGGTCCTGTCCCCTCAGTGAATGCTTCCCTTCCATATTCCCACTGTCTCCAGTGGATCTTCCCGTGTTTCCATGGGGTTTCTCAACCACAGGGATGATGACTCATGGTAGAATCTCGTCTCCTTGAGGAGCAGCCAGGTCCAGTGAGAGTTTCCCATATTAGTGGCCCGGAATGGTCAGAAACGCCAATCCTCTCTGCAGCCATCCTCCCCAGTGTCCCCTGATCAAACCAAAGCAGCTTTTAGATCTGGTTCAGCGGAACACTCTGGATAGAGTGTCCTGTGCTCATTTTCTCCTCCCGTTGTTCCCTTCCAGATTATTCCCAACTTCTATCCACCATTGGAGGGCCATGTGCGGCAAGGTGTCTTTTCCTCCCTCAACCACATTGTGGAGAAACGGGTCTTGGCGTAAGAAGTTTGGGGGTGGGGTGGGGGGTTTGTTTTCCCATTTTTCATTAGGTCCAGTCACCTGTAGGTCAGGCACATCCAGATACTGCCATACTACTGCTGGCCCTTTTCCTTGGCGGGTGTAAAAAGTACTGATTCCACCTCAGGCTGCTGGGCATATGTCCTCCTGACTCTTAGAGGAACTTCTCTCATGCCATCTTATTACAAAGGGCTTCAAATGCCTTCATGCTCCCTGTTGATCCCTTCCAAGAATCTGAATATGGCCCAGTTATATAGATTGGGCTTAGACCTATCTCGTTAACTCCATGTTGAGCTAGAAATGAGGGGCTCTGATGTTGACCTTCACTTGTGTTCCCCGTTAGACACCTGGCTCCCCTGTTTGACAATCCTAAATTGGATAAAGAGCTGCGGGCAATGCTGAGAGAGAAGTTTCCTGAGTTCTGCAGCTCACCGTCCCCGCCTGTGGAAGGTATGGAGCCCTCCCCTTCCATCATCCGTATCAAAACAGGGACATGCCATCCAAGGCTCTCAGACCAGAGTCCTGTTTAGGATGTCGTCCGTGTGCGGTTCTCCACCTCTGTGACACTGCCCATCGCAGCTTTTCCTTTCCCAGTTTTTCTATTTATTCATTCTTGTGTTGTCTCTCTTGGTTCTCTTCATCTAATCTTATCTGACTTTTGCTCATCTTTCTTGCACTCTTAACTCTAATTTTTTCTCTTATTAACTCCTTCTCAGTAGGTAGAAGGCTTTCTCGTAATGTTTGTTTATCTCATTTTAACTTTGCCCATCTCTTCTCTCTGTCGAGCTCTAGGCCCTGGCGCCTGACGAGAGGTTGTCATGTTGGGTCTCAAATCTTTCTCCCGATCCCAGACTGCCATCTCCCCACCACACTTTTTTGTTTTGGGATAAGGGCTTAAGCCAAGCAGTACATCCCAACTTGGTTTTAAATTAAAGAACACTTGGGACTGTCCCTGGTCTTACTCTAGTCACTAATTCTGAGCTGAGCATAGAGCAGTCATGTCCTGTGCTGTTCTTATTCCTGGCAGCATCCACCCTGTAGGTCGTGGAGGGTTGTGAGGACACTAGGTTTGTCCTTCCAGGGTCAATAATCCACTTAGGTCATAAACTCCTTATTCTCCCACTTGCCCTCCCGTCTCCCTTCCCAGAAGCATGGAACATGTTAGAGGACACGGGAGGCCATCAAATGCCTTGTCTTTCTTTACTCCCAAGTTAAAATTGAGGAGCCAGTTTCCATGGAGATGGACAACCATATGTCGGATAAGGATGAGAGTTGCTACGACAATGCGGAGGCAGCCTTCAGTGATGACGAGGAGGATCTCAACAGCAAAGGTGAGGCTAGCAGCAACGGCTCATTCAGGCTTGTGTCAACCTGGAGAGACCAATTCGTAGCAGCAGCCTCTCTGCAACCTTTCTATCGCCTTTGCCCTGTGAGTTAAAGTTTTGTTAACAGGTTGACTGGATGAGACTCTGAGTGCAGAGCCCTGTACTCAGCACGAAAGGCAGGAAGGAAAAAGAAGTGGTTGCTGCACTTTTTTGCATATAGGAGCTAGGACATGTGCACGCTCAGTGAGATGCTTTAGGCACTCACACAACATTGAGTACACAGGTGCACACTTAGGGCATGTGAGGAAGGGACATGTGGTTCAGGGGACTGTCTCTGTTGCTAGCATCTGGGCAAACTGACTTCTTTCCCAAATCACTACCTTCAGGAAAGAAGAGAGAGTTTCGCTTCCACCCTATCAAGGAGACAGTCGTGGAGGAGCCTGTTGATATCACCCCTTACCTTGACCAGTTGGATGAATCCCTAAGGGACAAAGTACTCCAGCTACAGAAGGGGAGGTGGGTGCAGACCTCACTCTCCACCTCCGGAGGTCCAGCCCCAGTCTCTGTACCTAGTGCTTGGTGGGTGTGGCAGGATGGTGCAGGCTGGAGGAAAATGTGATGGGAGTGTGTGGCGAGGTAGTTGGAGCTTCATGAGGGTTTTTTTCTGCAGTTTATGTTGGAGGTTATGGGCTGGGAGTGGGGCAGCCTCGTTCCCTGACACCTTGGGTTCCCACTCCATGGATTCTGGGGAGAAGAGCCTCTGAGAACCAAAGTAGGGTTGATGGGGATTTCCCCCTTCTTTGGGCCTCTTCCCAAGAGCAGCAAATTCTGCCCTACAGCCTCCCCTGACCCCCAAGCTGGGATTTTACACAGAGCTCTTTGTTTTGTCTCTGTGCATGTTGTGCATGGGAGTGTGCTTGTGCACACTGTTCTGGGTGTGTGTCCTGCCCTCTGCTATCATTTATGTCGCTGGGATTTCCTCTCACTTCTGTCCTGCAGTGATACGGAGGCCCAGTGTGAGGTCATGCAGGAAATCGTGGACCAGGTCCTAGAGGTGAGGAGGAACCCAGCCCCCTAGGGAGGAAGCAGCCCAGCCTGCTCAGCATAGAGTTCCCCATGCAGACATCTCCCAGGGACGCTGACTGTCTCCTTCTCCCTCCCCACATGGGTTCCCTCTGATGGGGGGTGGGGAGCTTGCTGATCCTAGAGGTGGAAACATGAATTCCAAGGCTGTGGGATAGTGGGGGCAGGAAGGCTTGGATCTAGGTAGTGACACTCCCTCCCTTGTCTCACCACCCAGGAAGACTTTGACTCGGAGCAGCTTTCTGTCCTTGCTTCCTGCCTGCAGGAGCTCTTCAAGGCCCACTTTCGAGGGGAAGTGCTGCCTGAGGAGATTACCGAGGAGTAAGGCTCATCTTCCCTAACCCCGCTAACTCAGGAGCCAGAGTGTTCTCTTATAGTCCGAATCCAAGATGCACTTTGCCGTGAACCTTAGAAAAATAATCTGTTCACTTAGTGTTTTTATTCTCATATGTACTGCTTCATTTAAACAAGGTTTATTTTTGCCTGCTCAATACCGTGTGTACTAGGAGAGGTACACACTCCCTTTGCTTCAACCCCTCCTGCTGGGCCCAGTAGCCCCAACCTTTGCTGAATCATGTGGGATTGGACCCTGGATGGGGCTCTCTCCCTGAAGGGCAAGAGTCTCACCTTCAATGAGGATGACAACCTCAAATTGTGATTCTTTGTTAGAAACCTGTTTTCTCTGTTCCTAAGCCTCTGGAGCAGCAGAAAGTTTGCCTTTTGGGTAGAAAAGGAGCAGGCTGGCATCTGGCCTTAAGCTGGTCCTCCATAATATCTGCCTGCAACCTACCTCCCCTCCCCTCACGTGGACTCTCATATGTAACCTTCCTCTTGTAGGTCCCTGGAGGAGTCTGTAGGAAAGCCTCTCTACCTAATATTTAGGTAAGCACCCAACTGTAGGAGATATCGCACTGTCCTCTGTCTTCCCTGACAGCGCACTGTGCTTGGGGTAACAGGGCCCCTTTCCAGGAAGGAGGAGGTATACAGTGGACACAAAGCCCACGCCACCCCAGAAGCTCCATGGGAGAGTCTGCCGTAGGTAAAGCTCTGCTCATCTCCTCTCACCCCTTCCTCTAGGAACCTATGCCAGATGCAGGAAGACAACAGCAGCTTCTCTCTGCTTCTGGACCTTCTCTCGGAGCTATATCAGAAGCAGCCCAAGATTGGCTACCACCTGCTCTACTACCTGAGGGCCAGGTGGGTATGCTCCCCACATTTCCTGTCTCCTCCTACACACTGACTTTCCCACCCTTGGCTGTCTTCACCAGGGCCTTCCATGTGTTTGCTGTTTTTTTTAAAAAAATAATAGCTATATATAAAATTAACCCTTTTATTTTTTTTTTATTTTTATTTTTTGAGACAGAATCTCACTCTGTTGCCCAGGCTAGAGTGCCGTGGTGTCAGCCTAGCTGACAGCAACCTCAAACTCCTGGGCTCAAGCGATCCTCCTGCCTCATCCTCCCGAGTAGCTGTGACTACAGGCATGCTCCATCATGCCCGGCTAATTTTTTCTGTATATTTTTAGTTGTCCAGCTAATTTCTTTCTATTTTTAGTAGAGACAGGGTCTCGCTCTTGCTCAGGCTGGTCTCGAACTCCTGAGCTCAAATAATCCTCCTGCCTCAGCCTCCCAGAGTGCTAGGAGTACAGGCGTGAAAAATTTACCTTTTTAAAGTGTACGATTCAGTAGTATATTCACAAAGTTGTACAACTATCACTACTGTCTAATTTACATCACCCTAAAAAGAAACCCCATACCCATTAGGAGTCCTGTTCCCGTTCTTCCCTTCACCCAGCAACCAATGACCTGCCTTCTGTCTCTGTAGATTTACTTATTCTGGACATTTCAGATAAATGGAATCAAACAATGTGTGATCTTTTGTGACTCACTTTTTTTACCTAACCTAATGTTTTTAAGGTTCATCTGTGTTGTAACGTATATCAGTTCTTCATTCCTTTCTATGGCCAAGTACTATTCCAGTGTATGGATACACCACATTTTGTTTATCCGTTTGTCTGTTGGTGGACATTTGGGTTGTTTCCACTTTTTTGCTATTGCAGATGGAGCTGCTGTGAACATTCATGTACAGGTTTTTGTGTGGACGTATGTTTTCAGTTGTCTTGGGTACATACCTAGGAGTGGAATTGCTGGATCATGCAGAAAAATCTGTTTTTACACTGGCAGGGAACCGCAGAACTGTTTTCCAGCGTGGCTGCAGCTACTTTTATGTCCCCTCCAGCGACGTGTGAGAGTTCTGATTGCTCCGCATGTTCCCCAGCACTTGTCATCTGGCTTTTTTCCCCTTAGTCTCTGTGCTTTTTTTTTTTAATTGTCTGACTTTTTGATTCCAGCTATCCTAGTGGATGTGAAATGGAATCACATTGTGGTTTTGTATTTCATTTGTATTCATTTGTATTTCCCTGGTGGGTAATGATATTGAGCATTTTTTCATGCATTTATTGGCCATTTGTGTATTTTCTTTGGAGAAATACCTATTCAAATCCTTTCCCATTTTTAATTTGGTTATTTGTCTTTTTATTGTTGACTTTTAAGAGTTATTTATATATTCTGGATACAAGTCCCTTATCAGATATATGATTTGCAAATATTTTACCCCATTCTGTGGATTGTCTTCATTTTTTTGTTGTTTTTTGTTTTTTCCAACACCAGGAGAAAGGCATATCTTCACTTTTTTGATGGCATCCTTTGGATCACAAAAGTGTCAAATTTTTATGAAGTTAGATTTATGTTTTTTTTCTTTTGTCACGTGTGCTTTCGATGTCATGAAGATTTATTCCTATGTTTTCTCTAAGAGAACATAGTTTTAGTTCTGTGGCTTTGTTTCTTACTTTAGGCCTGTCAGCCATTTTGAGTTGAGTTTTGTGTATGGTGTGAGGTGTTATTGCCCTCATGGCTAGAGCCCAGAAAGCAAGAGAGAAAGCCTGACCTGAGCCCTCTTTCTTTTCTCGGTGCTCATCAGTCGTAGCTTCACTCGTTGTGTTCAGAGCCCCGTCTGGAGCACTGGGGAAGGGTGGGGAGAAGGAGGAGCATCTCAGGCTGGGCGCGGGGGCTCACGCCTGTAATCCTAGCACTCTGGGAGGCCGAGGCAGGAGGATTGTTTGAGCTCAGGAGTTCGAGACCAGCCTGAGCAAGAGCAAGACCTCGTCTCTACTAAAAATAGAAAGAAATTAATCGGACAACTAAAAATATATAGAAAAAATTAGCCGGGCACGGTGGCGTGTGCCTGTAGTCCCAGCTACTCGGGAGGCTGAGGCAGTAGGATCGCTTGAGCCCAGGAGTTTGAGGTTGCTGTCAGCTAGGCTAACGCCACGGCACTCACTCTAGCCAGGGCAACAGAGTGAGACTCTGTCTCAAAAAAAAAAAAAAAAAAGAGCAAGACCCCGTCTCTACAAAAAATAGAAAAATTAGCCAGGCATTGTGGCATGCGCCTGTAGTCCCAGCTACTCAAGAGACTGAGGCAGGAGGATCACTTGAGCCCAGGAGTTTGAGGTTGCATTGAGCTACGATGATGCCACTACACTCTACCCGGGGTGATAGAATGAGGCTCTTTCTCAAAAAAAAAAAAAAAGTGAGTGTCTCCTGGTTCCTATAAGTTGTCAGGCCCTTGGGGAAGGTGGCAGGGAGGGACATGAGACAGAAGCACACCTAGGGCAGACAGGCAATTCCAGAGCGAGAGCCTACTTCAAGGGTGTTTGAAGGTGGGTGCTGGGGTGAGGCTGCTGGTTTAGGCCCATCTGGTCTTGTAGCAAAGCTGCCGCGGGGAAGATGAACCTGTACGAGTCATTTGCCCAGGCCACTCAGCTGGGCGATCTGCACACGTGCCTAATGATGGACATGAAGGCCTGCCAGGAGGACGACGTGCGGCTGCTCTGCCACCTCACGCCCTCCATCTACACAGAGGTTGGTGCCTCCATCCATATCCGTGCTGGGGGTGGGGGCAGCAGTGCAGGGGGCTCACGGGAGACTGCCCACCTAGTGTACACTCTGAGCATCACCTACAACCTGGCCCTCCTCCGCCCACCCTGCTAACTTTGGTAGACCATTGCTTCCTACACCACAGCTGTTCCCTCCTTCTACCTCTCTTTATTCAAAGTTTAAAATTTTCTAAAACTCCCAGAATTTTTATCCTTTGGTTTAGCTGTGGTGTGAGTTGGGGCCTGGGCCTATATACTTGGCTTCTCAGGTTGGGCCCCATCATCTGGACCCATGACCGGTCCCCTAAATCAGATCTGTATTTATATACCCCAAGCCCTCTCGCCCTCTGATGGCTCGCCCCTGGATTCTCTCTGCTGGTTCCCAGTGACCAGGGCTTCTGTCGTGGAGACTGACTCTCATTCCCCTGGTTCACTTAAACTCTTCTCTAGGAACTGGGATGCAGGAGGTATCCGCTCTTCCATCTCTTGGTAGAATTTCTCAGAAGAAGGAAATGAGGACCCAGGGTGTGGGCACATTAGGAGGAACTGTGATCTCAGCCAAGCAGTGGAGGGAGGAGGGGTGTAGATGCCAGACACAGGGCACTTCCCTTCCCCTGCGCCCCCTCTCTAGATGGGGCCCTGCCTGCCCACACAGCCCTCCCACCCCCAGACAATCTACACCTTCTCTTCTTTGGCTGAGGGTCAGCACAGGTTGGGTTTCTGCTGCCAGGGACGCAAATGTTTACTCCGCTGCTACTCCCACACAGAACCAGCCATCACATCCAGTCCTTTCAGCTCTGGCTTTATCTCTGTATAGCTCCCTGTTCCTTTCCTTACACACGCCCCTCACAGTGTGCACACATAAATAACAGAAGTTGAGGTCTTCAGGTTCTTGAAGTCTTTCAGCTTCATAGCTATTGGATCTCTGTTTAGGGGGTTATATTAGAGCCTGTGTCTGGCTGACCTAGCCAGACCCTGAGCGTGTGCTAAGGAAGAAAAATGGGTTATGAGATGAAGGCCAAGGGGTCCACCCCAGACCCTTCCCCTCTCTTTTTCTACCCAGTTTCCAGATGAAACCTTGAGGAGTGGAGAGTTGCTGAACATGATCGTGGCTGTTATTGACTCTGCACAGGTATACATCGAGCCTTGACATCCCCAGAGAGGCCCAGAGGGCAGGACTGGGGAAGTCAGGCCTCTGCTTTGTCTGCAGGCCTGCAGACAGGGAGCCCATGCTCCCAGGCACTCTGCTCCTGGTATAGGTGTGTGCATCTTTGGCTGTAGCAACTGGGAAGGAAAGTGGGCCCCAAGGGTGGCTGGCAAACCCTGCCTAGAGTTTCCCTTATTCTCCGTGTTCTTTGGGCATTCCTATTTCCACAGGGAAAACTGAGGGGATTGTTTGTTTAGCTCTCAATTGGATGCCTTTCCCTTGGCTTAGAATGAAAATGGTCAGACCATTTCTACTAAACCTTTCTACCATGCATAGGTCCCCAAGAGGCTGTAGCTTTGCTTGGGTCCATCTCAAGCCTAAACAGAGGTCCCAGTTCTCTGTTCTCCTTTTCTCCACTCAGTTCCCATTCATAAAAGAGGAAGGCCAGGCAAGGTGTAGCAGCTCATGCCTGTAATCCTAGCACTTTGGGAGGTCAAAGTGGGAAGATCACTTGAGCCTAGGAATTCGAGACCAGCCTCGGCAACATGGCAAGACCCCATATCTATAAAAAATAAAAAAATTAGCTGGGTGTGGCGGCTTGTACGCCTATAGTCCCAGCTACTCAGGAGTCTGAGGCAGGAGGATCACTTGAGCCCAGGCGTTTGAGGTTGCTGTGAGCTAGGCTGACACTACTGCACTCTAGCCTGGATGACAAAGTGAGACCCTGTCTCAAAAAAACAAAAACCAAAGACGAAGTCTAGCACTCAAGGGTCCTTCCTTTCCCTTTCCCCTGCCCACACCTGTGCTGAGAGCCCAGCCTCCCAGGATCCTTCCCTCCTCCTCAGGCCTAGACTAAAGCTAGGTAGAGAAGTTCCCTGTTCTCCCTCTGCCACCAGGATGTGGGGGACTGTTTTCCACAACTATTTTTGCCCAAAACAGGCCTGTGGCTCCCACACAGACCTGTTGCTACCTTACCAGCCCCTTCATCCTCCAGAGACTGCAGCATTCATCATGCGCCATCTCCTCCCTGTCCCTCTAAACTAGACTTTCCCGTCCTCTGATTTTTTCCCTTATGAGCCCTCCTGCTCCTCCCTCCATACTAGCTTCCTGGCCTTTTTTAGAGCTCATGGGTTCTGCCTTCTTCCACCTCAGCTCCAGGAGCTGGTCTGCCATGTGATGATGGGGAACCTGGTCATGTTTCGAAAAGACTCAGTCCTCAACATACTCAGTAAGTGACCAAACCTTTTAGGTACCTGAGAGGAGACAGGAGCAGGGTGTCAGCCATGTGTATTTTTCACCAACGGGAAAGCTGGCTCTGGGGCTGGGAAGTTAAGGGGTAGAATGTCGTACCACCCTGCTGTGTGGCCTTGGGCAGTGTCTCTCTGGATGTGTTTCTTGCTCTGTAAATTGGAAGGACTTACTCTTGCCCCTCCAACCTCGGGGCTCATGGGAATACAGAAGCTGTGAGAAGACTGGAAATCAGTGTTGTGTGGGAAGGGAAAGGGTCTAGATTTAGGGTCACTGTCCCTACCTCTGTACCACTGTCCCATCCCTGTTTGGGGTGCTGGTAGTCAGTGGACTAGCCACATGTGTGTGTGATGGGGAGAGAGATGTTTGTTCTGTCTCTTGCAGTCCAGAGCCTGGACTGGGAAACCTTTGAGCAATACTGTGCCTGGCAGCTCTTCCTGGCCCATAACATCCCCCTGGAGACCATAATCCCCATCCTGCAGCACCTCAAATACAAGGGTGAGTAGGGTTGTGGGTTGGAAGCAAGTAGGAGAGGACACGACCTGTCCAGCTGGGGCTCTGGCCGAGCCCAGATCCACCGCTCCCTTCCCTACCACAGTGCACCAGCGCAGGGCCACCGTGAGCCAGGACTGCACAGGGGCTCGGGTGGGCCAGGGACTAGATAGGATTCGGGTAGGGGCTTCTTCCTGGCTCCTGGTTGAAGACTGTCCTTGCTCCCTCCAGTGGCTGTTGGTTAGGGGATGAGGGAGGTGCCCAGGTTCCCTCCCGGAATCACACATTCCCCTCTCCTTCCCTCCCAGAGCACCCAGAGGCCCTGTCCTGCCTCCTGCTTCAGCTCCGAAGAGAGAAGTGAGTTCCCCCCTGGGAGCTCTTTAGCCTTCGGTCCCCACATACAAGAGATACTGTGGTATAAAGGACTTCTGTCCTGCTCCTTTTGCCATGTTTTTTTCCTGTCGTTGACATCTGCTTATTTTGCCCTTCCCCCAGTGTGACTTACAAGTAAGCAGCTCTCCTGGGATCTGGGCTTCCTCTCAACATACCCCCCTGCCCACCAGGAGCTGCCCTTGGAGGTGGGGAGGTGGGGACCGGACATCCCTGTTTCCTGCTGCCACAGCAGTTCTAATCCCTGGTGGCTCCCGCTCCCCTCCCCCACACGACTGCAAGCCGCCACATGTCTAATCCAAGAGGAGGAAGGGTCAGAGTAGAGGGATCACACACTGTCCTCTCCTCTACCTACACAGAGCAGAGCTGGCTGAACCCACTGTGCTCCCTGCCAGGGTGGGTGTAGAGGGGAGAGGGCAGAAGACCCCCTCTCCCATCACAGGTGCTGTAGCAGCCTTCCTGGATAAATGGAACAACAGCTGTGTATCTTTTCCTTCCTACCATTTTGCCGTCTTTCTACCTTCTCTCCCCCCTTGCCCGAGAGACTAGAAATGGTGTCCTGGAGGCAGTGGGAAGGTGGAGAGCTGTGTGGGACTGTGGCTTCATGGCCTTCTCTCCTGCCCCTTCCTTAAGCGGGATTCCATGCTGGCCCACACTCTAGCAGGGCAGGGTAGGAACACGCACACAACACGTGCTTGTCCTTTTGCCTCCCCGGCCCATTTCCTGACCGTTCTAGGGGGCGTGGGGGAGGTTTGGTGGTCCTCCTTCCCAACACAAGCGCACAGACACCTTCTACTACCACAGAAACTGAAGAGTCTCACTTCTCACCTCCTGGCTTCCGCAGAGGATGAAACCAGGCATTCCTTGGCCCAAAGAGAAGAGGGAGAGGGATGTGAGAGTAGGAAGCTGCAGTGGGGCTGGGGTGGGCAGGCGGGGAGGGCGGCGTTTGGGAAATACATGAGCGGGAGGGATCGAGCAGTCCCTCAGGCTGCTTCGGGAGCGGCACCCAGCGCCTTGCCCCACAGGCCCAGCGAGGAGATGGTGAAGATGGTGCTGAGCCGGCCCTGCCACCCCGACGACCAGTTCACCACCAGCATCCTGCGGCACTGGTGCATGAAGCACGACGAGCTGCTGGCCGAGCACATCAAGTCCTTGCTCATCAAGAACAACAGCCTCCCTCGCAAGAGACAGAGGTGGGCATGGTCCCTGTCCACCCTCCAGGCAGGGCTGCCCACATTTCCTGCCCGCTGTCAACAGGCCGTCCCTAGGGCAGTCTGCAGGGACTGCTGCCCAGTGATAGTGGGGGTCCAGTGCAGTCCCAGCCTGGTTTGTGGGTGACATCTAGTGGTCTGAAGCCACATGGCATGCAGGACCATCGTGGCCTTTCTCCCCTCCTTCTAGTACCCCCGTGGCAGGGCTTCCATGTTCCGTGCACATCTCCCTTACCCAACCGCAGCCCGCGAAGCCTGCCTGTCCTCCTCCCTGTATGGGCTGCCTCTGTCCTAAGGAGGGACCCTGGTGTGGGGGGAGGATCCTGGTGGGCTGGAGGGTGTCTCGCATTCCTGGAACCCTCCCCCTAGCTCAGACCCTGGCTCTCATGCCTTCCCTGCACAGCCTGAGGAGCTCCAGCAGCAAGCTGGCCCAGCTGACTCTGGAGCAGATCCTGGAGCACTTGGATAACCTGCGACTCAACCTGACCAACACCAAGCAGAACTGTATGCTTTCTAGCCCTCCCTGAGTCTAGTGTGTGGTGCTGCCCTGGCTCAGACCACCTGGGGCCACGCTGGGGTCAGGGGCACGACGCCTGGGGCCAAAACCCAAACTCCTGGGATAAAACCTTTGGGTACCATTGAATAAGCTCCCAGACATCTAATTGGTTTTCTTCCCCTGCTCTCCCTTTCTTCTCCCTCTAGTTTTTAGCCAGACCCCAATCCTCCAGGCGCTGCAGCATGTCCAGGCGAGCTGTGACGAAGCCCACAAGATGAAGTGAGGCTCCTTCCATTTTTGGCTTTGGGAAGCAGTGGGGAGAAGGCCTAGAGGACAGGAGGCCTGCTGGGGACACAAACTTACCTAGGGTTGAAGAAAACCAGAGACCTAGGCCTGGGGGAGAAGAGGGTGGGAGGTGGCCATAGGACCAGCATGTCCCCACTCAGAGCTTATTCTCTTTTCTCTTAGGTTCAGTGATCTCTTCTCCCTGGCTGAGGAATATGAGGACTCTTCCACCAAACCACCCAAGAGCCGGCGAAAAGCAGCTCTGTCCAGCCCTCGAAGTCGGAAGAATGCCACACAGCCCCCCAATGCTGAAGAAGAGTCCGGCTCCAGCAGTGCTTCGGTGAGGCCCCCAGCCAGTGCCCAGGAGGAGAAGGAGCAATAGGTGTGGGTGGAGTTGGAGCTAGTGATTTCCCTCCTCCCCCGCCCAATCTCTTCCAGGAGGAAGAAGACACAAAACCGAAGCCCACCAAGCGGAAACGAAAAGGGTCCTCTGCAGTGGGTTCTGACAGTGACTGAGGCCCTGTGGTCCCCATCCCACCCCCAGTTGGACTGCCCTCTTCTCCTTGGTGAATCAAAGGTTAATAGGGGCGGGGGAGGTAAAAGGGGAACCATGCTCTTCCATCCCCAAGCTCACCTGGTGAGGAGGATGAGCTTCCTCCTCTGGCCCAGCCTGAGAAGCTGCCAGGCAGCCCCAGCCCCTCCCCTCCTCTCCTGGGGCCCCCAGCCACCCACACTGCTGCCGCCACTGATGTTTGGGTTCTCGCTGAAGCCAGAGGCTGTGCAAAATAGGACCATGGTGGAAGTCCTCAGCCCCCTGACTCCTCCCCTAGCCTCCTGCCCAGTCTCTGAAAGAGCCATTTCAACAGAGAAGGGAAACGACAAAGGAGCAGCTGGCCAGAGAAACTGGGATGACAGTGGAGACTCCCTATGTAGGTGTCCCTTCCTGCTTGCCCTTCAGGTCTTGATTTGCTCTGAACAGGCATTTTATAGCCATTCCCTCCACGCACCAGTGTGAAATGGCTGTCTAATCTGAGTGGTCAGGCTGCCCATTCCCAACCAGGGGGCAAGTGTCATAAGCATTCAGGAAAGAACCTGGAAGGGTGGCCACAGCCCCACGCGGTGTGCCCTGGAGGCTTGGGTTGGCCTGAGAGGTTGGCACCTCAAGCTGGGCCAGAGCCCAGGGTAGTCCAGAGAAGTTCCAGAGAACTGTCAAGTGGTCCCATTTCCTTGGGTCTGTTTTCTTTTTCTTTTTTTTTTTTTTTTTTTTTGGCAGAGATAATCGAGTCTTAAAAGTTGTTTTTAAATGACAATAAAACTAGCCAGAATGTCTTTTGTGCTGGAGTTTGCACAGGCATCAGGCATTTACCTTGTGCATGTACAGGTGGTCTTGATTTAATTGGCACCTAGCTGTAGCCTCACAACATCCTCCTTTTCCCGTCTCGTCTCGAGCAGGAGGGACTTGGCTTTGTCCCCCACCCCCACCCATTCTTCCTGCTACCACTGGAGGTGGGAGCCAGGCACTGACCTGTCCGGGCAGAAACTGATGCTGGCACCATCTCCCTGTAGGCTGAGGTCTGTCCACACCCATTTCTCCTCCAAGAAACTAGAGGCTTCCAAAAGCTAGCGTTTGTCATACTCACTCTAATTTATTAAGTCTGTATGCTCCAGTTACTGGAGGGCTCGACAGGGCAGGGATGCTCCAGCTTGGCTCCAAGGACAGAAGTGTGCCTGGCGGAGAGTTCGAGTACCGGGGATGGGGGGCCCTCTTCCTTTCAGTCTGGCCACTTGCTGGTCCACATGTGCGTTGGCCGTGCTTTTTGTTCTCCTGTTGTCCAGAGGGGTTGGCAGTGGGCTGAGGAGAGAGGACTGAAGTTGGGGCTAACTGCAGGCAGCTCCTCCTGTTGAGCCTGCAAATGTGTCTGTTTACAGAATCGAGGTCTCCCCTCCCTCAAAGCTGCTACTCCTTCCTTTGAAAATCTAAACCACTGGAGGCCTCTTTTTCCTTCCTCCCTCCTTCCCCAGTTTCCTTTGTGCCAATTAAAATCAGGATGGAAAGCATTCGCTGGCTGGCCCCAATTATTGTACCCTTGCCCAAAGGGAGGAGCCTCCGCCGTGGCCCCTCCAGAAATCTGGCCGTCTGGGCCTCTACCTCTCCCCTACTTAGTTCTCAGTCCCCACCCATTCCCTGGGGTAGCTGCTGTTGGCAGCTGGCGGGAGGGTATGGGTCTGGCTGTCCTGCCGGGACTTGCAGAACCGAATGGGCCAGGGGCCAAGTTCTTCAGTCTCTTTTGGGAGAGAGCAATGGTATCCTTCTGTTAGGGGTGAAAATGATACTGAGGGAAAGACGGACTGCGATCCAAACGCCCTGGCTCTCAGAACTGGACTCCAGAGTCCAGCCAGATCCCTAAACTGCCCACGAGGAGAAAGAACTCAAAAAGAGAATGACTCTGGGATTGAGGAAAGGTTCGAGCACGGCCCGGGACCTGGTAGGGTGCGAGCCGCGAGCCGTCCGGGAGAGCGCGCCCAGGGCGGAGCGTAGGCTGTGGGGAGGGCCAGGAGCCCGGGGCCGCCCCCCACACGCTCTCCGCCGGTGGGGAGTGGCGGGGGCCCGGGTGGGAAGGGGCGTGTGCCAGCGCACGCGCGCTCCTCCCGAGAAGGAGCGGTCTCACTGCAAGAACGGTCGGCCCCGATTTCTCGGAAGGGACTATCAGGGGTGTTCGAGAGCGGCGGGGCCGGACGGTGCGGAGCGGAGGAAGCCGGCTCCATGGCTGCCCTCCTACTGCTGTCCCTGCTGCTGCTGTTGCCGCTGCTGCTGCTGAAGCTGCACCTCTGGCCGCAGTTGCGCTGGCTCGCGGCAGACTTGGCCTTCGCGGTGCGCGCCCTTCGCTGCAAAAGGGCTCTTCGAGCTCGTGCGCGGGCCGCGGCTGCCGCCGACCCGGAGGGTCCCCAGGGGGGATGCAGCCTGGCCTGGCGCCTAGCGCAACTGGCCCAGCAGCGCCCTGCGCACACCTTTCTCATTCACGGCGTGCGTCGCTTTAGCTACGCGGAGGCGGAGAGCGAGAGTAACCGGGCTGCGCGGGCCTTCCTGCGCGCCCTGGGCTGGGATGGGGGACCCGGCGGCGGCGGCGCCGCTAGGAGCGCTGGGGAAGGCGAGCGGGCGGCGCAAGGCGCCGGAGACGCAGCGGCGCTTGCGGAGTGTGGAGGGGATGGGGCAGCCACAGGACGAGCCGCGGTCCCTCTGGCACCTGGAGCGACCGTGGCGCTGCTCCTCCCCGCCAGCCCAGAGTTCCTGTGGCTATGGTTCGGGCTGGCCAAGGCGGGGCTGCGCACGGCCTTTGTCCCCACCGCCCTGCGCCGCAGCCCCCTGCTGCACTGCCTCCGCAGCTGCGGCGCGCGCGCGCTGGTGCTGGCGCCAGGTAAGGCTGGAGCGCCCGACTGACTAGGCTGGGCCAGCCGCAGACAGGGGCGTGTCTGGAGTCACAGAAGGGCTTGGTCCTGTCACCGGGACGTTGTCTCCCTGGGGTTCAGAAATGAGTGGGGATGCGAAGCCATAAAGCTGAATCTTTAGTTTCCTAGGGATTCCCAAGGTGCTCAGGTCCCAGACCCATTATGGGATGTCCGTACTCTTCACCCTCGCCGAAAGCAGTGCGGATGGGGACTGGGGGTGCACGGGTAATAGGCTAAGGGGTGGGGAAGGCTTCTGGGTAGTGCCCAAGCCACAGAGCTGTACTTTCGCACCCTTTCCAGAGTTTCTGGAGTCCCTGGAGCCTGACCTGCCGGCCCTGAGAGCCATGGGGCTCCACCTTTGGGCTGCAGGCCCTGAAACCCACCCTTCTGGAATCAGAGATTTGCTGTCTGAAATGTCGGCTGAAGTGGATAAGCCAGTGCCGGGATACCTCTCTGCCCCCCAGAGCATGACGGACACGTGCCTGTACATCTTCACCTCTGGCACCACGGGTGAGGGCTGGGAACCATGCTTACCTCCCAGAACCTAAGGCAGAGGAAGGCAGGGGTCTGGGAACGGCACCTGGGACCTCCTCAGCTCTCAGGTCACCCCCTCAGAACCCTCAGAGAGGATGCTGATCCCAGCGGAACAACCTTTCTCTCCAGTTGCCATCCCCTCTTCATGTCTCCACCTCCCCCAAACTACCCATGTTTCCAGGACAGTCTGGGTCCCGACCTCAATTTGGCAGGCCTCTGACTCTTTCTGTGGGAAACCCAGCAGGGGGCAAGCAGGAAGACCAGATCGAGTTTGGAGCTCAGACCTCTCCTTTGATCTCCCTGCTATGCCACCCCACAGGTCTCCCCAAGGCTGCTCGGATCAGTCATCTGAAGATCCTGCAGTGCCAGGGGTTCTACCAGCTGTGCGGCGTCCACCAGGAGGATGTGATCTACCTCGCCCTCCCACTCTACCACATGTCTGGCTCCCTGTTGGGCATTGTGGGCTGCTTGGGCATTGGTCAGTCTCCCTGCCACCACCCCCTTCATTCCTCCAGCAAACATGTATGAAGTACTTACTATGGTGGGAGTCCTTCAGGCTAGAGGATCCAGAGGGAGGAGGCCAGGGCCCTCCTCTCTAGGAGCTCTGTGCAGTGGGAACCATTACCAGGCAGGCCTACAGACTGAGCAACTGGGGAGGCCATACAGTTCGCAGGAGGGAAGGGCTGTCAGTCTAGGCAGAGGCAAATAGAGAAGAGGTGGGACTTGGGGGCAAGGGTGTGTGCAGAGGATGGGGTATTTGGGGGTGGGACGTCGGGAAAGGGTACATTAACCTCTCCAAGGGAAGGTGGGAAAGGAGGAGGGCCAACTGGGCCTGCTGGAGGTGTGGCTCTGCCAGCAGGTCCCTCCCAGGGAACTGCACTGGGTGGAGGAGGGGGTCGGGGCTCCCCTCTCTGCTCATAACCTCACCTTCTTCCTTTCCCCTTCCCACTTCTGGCAGGGGCCACAGTGGTGCTCAAGTCCAAGTTCTCAGCTGGTCAGTTTTGGGAGGACTGCCAGCAGCACAGGGTGACCGTGTTCCAGTACATCGGGGAGTTGTGCCGATACCTTGTCAACCAGCCCCTGGTGCGTGGGCACAGTTCCTGGGCAGAGCTGCTGACACAGGCCTAGGCCACAGGGAGCAGGACATGTGAAAGGAGACAGAGACAGTTGCCTGAGAGTTAGAGGGAGAAGAAAGAAGGAGAAGAATGGCAGTGTAGGATGAGGGCATCTGAAGGCGGTCACAATGGGAGGGGGCTGGGGAGTGGGGAGCAAGATTTCCCTTTGGAGAGCTGGCATCTTGGTGTTAAAGCTCCCACCTCTTTTCCATTCGTCTCAGAACAAGGCGGAACGTGGCCATAGGGTCCGGCTGGCAGTGGGCAGTGGGCTGCGCCCAGACACCTGGGAGCGTTTTGTGCGGCGCTTTGGGCCCCTGCAGGTGCTGGAAACATACGGGCTGACAGAGGGCAACGTGGCCACATTCAACTACACAGGACAGCGCGGCGCCGTGGGACGCGCTTCCTGGCTTTACAAGGTGAGGGTTAGAGAGGAAACTGAGCACCCACAGAACAGTGGGAGGCTGGCAGGAAGGGGGCTCATGCAGCTGAAATGACCCTCGTCTCCCTCCCTCCAGCTCGTCTTCCCCTTCTCTTTGATTCGCTATGATGTCACCACAGGGGAGCCGATTCGGGATGCCCAGGGGCACTGTGTGGCCACATCTCCAGGTTCGTGTTCAGGTGGGGGGGGTGAGGCTGGCAGAAGAGGACTGGAATTGAAGAGTGGGCTGGGATGGGGGCAGGAGGCTCTGGGTGAAGTCGGCAGCCACTCCTGACCCCAGCGACTTTGCCAGGTGAGCCAGGGCTGCTGGTGGCCCCAGTGAGCCAGGATTCCCCATTCCTGGGCTATGCTGGGGGAACAGAGCTGGCCCGGGGAAAGCTGCTGAAGGATGTCTTCCAGCCTGGGGATGTTTTCTTCAACACTGGGGACCTGTTGATCTGCGATGACCAAGGCTTTCTGCGCTTCCATGATCGTACTGGAGATACCTTCAGGTATCTGTCCATAACTTCCTGACACTTCATCCTGGACATCTGATCTCTGTGACCCAAACCTCCACTCCCTAACCTCCCACCTCAGCCCAGGTCCTCATCTAATCTCTCATTCTTGGACCTCCTAAACATTTAGGTGCTATGACAGCCTGGCACCCTGACCTCCGACCTCTTTCTCCCCCCACCAAGCTCTTAAAGCCCTGACCCCTAACTCCCAGTTTTAGATCTCTGCTCTCCAACAGGTGGAAGGGGGAGAATGTGGCCACAACCGAGGTGGCAGAGGTCTTCGAGGCCCTGGATTTTCTT